AGAATTATTCAGTAACAATCTTGATTTATAACTAGAGAACTAAAATTCGTTGGGTCACTGAAGTCCGAGAATATCAACTATATCAGATATCCGGGAGTATCAATATCTGAAATTATAATAGGAAAAAAATATATTTTTTTCCTATTATAATTTCAGATATTAACCCATAGTTGAAATTCCTGAATTCCAGCAACCCAAAAAATTATAGGTTTAGGATGTAAAAAGCACAGGATATAAAAAGTACGGAATATAAAAAATATAGCGACTCATATAATATTATTATGATATATAATATTTATACGAACAATATTATTATCGTAACTATTATATAATAATTATTAATATTTTTATTTTTTTATTTAAAGAGAATAATAGCAATCTTCTTTTGACAATTATGAAGAGTATACGTTTTTTAAATAAGTTGTATATAATATGAATAAAATTAAATACTTATCATATAGTGTTATAGACTATTATACACTATAAAATTTTGTATTTAATATTTTTTCAATGTCTTCTATAATTTCAGAAATATTAGCAAAAATGAAAAAAACTGGTTTTTTTAACAGGATATTTTCATCCTCGGAATCGTTTCTCAGCCAAAATGAGAAATAATTAAGTGATAAGGTCCAATTATATTGTATTTCTGCAAAAGTTTAAATTTTCTAGAATTTTTGCTTACCCAGACCTTTTTAGTTAACCTGATTGTATTCTCTAACCGCAATCAAGGGTCGTATATCTGTAAACAGTGTAAGGAAACTACAGCTCTCCCCTCCAAATTTTATCTTGAAATTTCTCATAAGAAGGAGCAGTATATGTATATAGTTGACGGGAATAAGTCAATGAAAAAGGAAGTCAATAATTGATAATCAATCGTAAATTATTGCTTATAAATGTTAATGTAATTATGGATGTAAAGGCACGTACTTCCCAGGTATTTCAAAGACCTATAAAGGCACCGTACTGACTAAGGAGATCATTTTTTGCCTATATATAGGGTATCTCAGACTGCTTGAACAATTTCTCGTAGAGGCGTAGAGCGGATCGAAGCGAACACAAAAACCGCATACCATTTTGCGAAATTCGCAGTAGTTATTATTCACAGAAATCTGAAATGCACCGCTATTCGACAATGCACTAGTCTTCTTTCGCTCCTACGCGTTGTCCTTCCCCGCACCACAAATCGTCAACAGTTGTTAAATCCACTGGGCCGCGCTGCTGGCCCGAACGGCTGCAAAGCTCGACCAACACCATCTCGGCGCTCACTCGTCAGATTTCTGTAATTAATAATTCGATAAATGTTGCGAATTTCGCAAAATGGTATGGGACTTTTGGGGTTTGCTTCGATTCCACGAGAGATTGTTCAGATGGTCTGGGACACTCTGTATATGTATACGTAGATATATTTGTTTTTAAATGTCACGTGCTCGGCATGTCACAGGTATGTACGATGAGGAAAGAATTATATAACTGTACAAAGCAGTGGAGATACAGAAGAAGAAAGAGAGTGAGAGAGAATAACAATTTTTATCGAAAACAGAGTTTAATATATTCTATGAATGAAGCTTTATATAAATGATTATAAAAAAAAAATACATATATATATATACATATATATTTTACGACAAATTATGAACGAGCGAGCGTTGGACGGAGAAGAGAAAAAGCGCACCATTGTCTGTTACGATTACTTATCACTATTAACCGTTGTCATGATCTATTGTTTATTTCTTATATGCGATATGGAAACGTCATGCGTCTATTATAACCTGTTCTTGGCGTCTATATCTATTCAGAATCCTTATATGTATTAGCAAGACACACACGTACAGTCACACATACACATACTATATACCACACCACACCACATCACACTACACATTCTACTCGACGACGTTTCAAGTCCACTTATTATGTATGACTATAATGTATCTACACGATAACGCGCGGTGCCACGTGACTGTTGTAACACGCGGTGCTGCAACTTCGAGAATGGATGTGTTATTCGACAATAAGAAATAAACACTTGTGAGCTAACGTGGTACGCTTTCTATGATTCACATACCCGCGTGAGCATACGTTACATACAATATTATCAGGTTTGGAAGAGTTACTCCTTGAAAGTAACTCGTTATCATTATTCGCGACACTTATTAAAAAAGAATAACCCCTATTACCGTTACTATTATTCATTTTGAGAACAATAACTATTTAAATACATCGCCAATATAGAAGCAACCTTCTTTAGAAGAGATTGTAGTTGTTATTATTCAAGAAATAACGAATCGTGACAATTTCAGTTGCTCTCCTCATTAAACCTCGAGAAAAAACCGTCTTTTTCGCGACTCATCACTTCTCATCCCAGGAAACAAAGTAATGATAAAAGTTATCACATTTATTAGCCTTACTCTAAAAATATAGTTGTCACTAACCAAAAAAAGTTATTAGAAAGAACAGCAAGAAGATGTGTTTGTAAATTAAATTACGGTATAACGAGCGAGTTTGAGCACCGCTCGTTGAGTTTTAAAAATATCGCTCATGTACATTCGGGTTCATCGAAAGTACACGAGGCGGGGACGCCCGGAAAATCGGCGAAGTTAACCGAACGACATATCTTTTGTCCGGAAATTAATGGAACTTTCTCATTTAAACTGCGCGCGCTTGTGGAATCTCATGTTGTAATTTTTTTTAAGTTGGTGCAACTGTCAGTGATATTTATGTCAAATTTCATGACGATATTAGTATTCACTTATTAGTATTCACACAATTCACAGTGGTTTTTGTTAGACGGTTAGACGGATTATTGTTCACGGCGATTTTTACGATGTCGAAATCTGCTGATCAAATCTGCTGATTTGCATTAAAATTTTGTGTTGCGGACCAAATAAATTTCACGTAAACGTTGGAAATGTTAAGAAAGGCATACCCTGAAGATTGTCTATCGCGAACAAGAATTTTTGAATGGTATAGGGCGTTCAAAGAGGGCTACTAAGCCGTCGATGATGAATTACGATCTGAATCCCATCGACATCAACTGACAGCAAACATGTCGCTCAAGTCAAGTTATTGGTGCTCAAAAATCGTCGTATGTCCGTCAGAGAGTTAGCAGCTGAGGTGGAAATCTCAAAAACACAATGCTATGTCATTTATGTGTGAGCACCAGCACACATCATCGATTGTTTGTAAGGTTTTGGCCAAAAATTCAAGCAATACTGTTCCCCAAGCTCCGTATTTGCCTGATATGGTTTCATACGACTTTTTCCTATTCCCAAAACTCAAGTTGCCGCTCGGAGGATATCATTGAAGCCATAAAAAAGATTCGCTGCATGAACTAAAGGCTATACCACAAAGCGCGTTCGCAGGAGCGTTCAAGAACTGGAAAAAGCGTTGGCATATGTGTATTGCTTCCAATGGGGAATATTTTAAAGGCGACAAAATAAATATTGATGAATAAATAATCTCTTATGTATTTTATTTCAAAAGTTCCGTTAGTTTTTGGACAGAAGATAAGCTCGCTCGACCAACCGAAGAAAGCCGAGCATACCTGAACAACCAGAGAGCAGACCAGAAGGAACTAACCGATAAAACCGAGCGTGGTTGACAAGGAGATGGCAAGACATAAAATCGATAATTGAACGAGTCATATTCAAGGATCCGGACTGAAACAAAATTTCGGTCCGGTTACGGTTACGGTCCAACAAGATATTTCGTAATGGTTCTCAATTTCGGTTTCGATCTGGTTAAGCATAACGGGATCTGAAACCATTTGAAATAACGGTTTTTTCAGTTTCGGTTACGGTTTTTCCAAAATTGTTTTTTATATAAATATTTATTTTTATAAATTATAATATTACAGCATGCTTTATAAATTACAATATTACAATATGTAATATATAAACGAATTTTATTCACAAAAATATTTAAGCGGCGTCATTTTTTATCAATTTTAACTACCGTTAATGGTTTCGATTTGATGTACTTGTACCTGGTATTACTTCCTCTGTTTGACTCTGTTGGTTACGGTTTGAGCATAAAAATCGATTTCGAAAGGGTTATCGATTCCGGTACCGGTCTGGTCCAGATTCCTGATTATATTTCATTCGAATGGAGGGGTTGAGTACATAAAAACCCTGAAAGAGTTTGCGTGCATGGACCTTTGTTTGCGAGAAATTTGTAATTAACGGCGAGAATCCAAAATGCAGCAGAGATTATTCGAGGAACACTAGGAATTTTACGAAAGAATTCGTAATTCTGTAACACATAGATGGTGGTTTTTTGGAAAACAATAGAAAACTTTTTTGTTCACTTCGAGCTAATTTACAAATACATGGCGTCATAGTAGCTTATTTAATAAGTCGCACATTCATTTACGAATTTTATTTAATTAATCTAATATTTTACATACTTGTCTGCAAAATAATGAAAGAATTTTTTTTCAATTTAATTTAATTTACATAATTACACAGAAGCTTTATTTGTTATCTTTAGACATCCTGTATAAGTTGATAGTTTTCCTAGTTATTAGCAATCTATCTATTAGATCTTATATAGATCTTATATATCTTATATAGAGGTCTAAGAAAGAATCAAAATACTCTGCTTTAGATCTAAATATATTAGAAAAAGATATAGAAATGACGATACACTTAACCGTATTTAAAACTATTAGATTAGTGCAAAAATAATTACGGTTTTTACGTATTGAGTATAAAGACGCATGTATCAGTTAAAAATTATATTTATTAATCAAAATAAAGACCATTGGCTTGCACACATTTCTCCCAACGGGAAACAAGTTTGTTTATTCCTACAAGATAGAATTCTGGAAAAGATAATGGTAACTAGAAAAATCGGCGTTAAATTTAAAATGATAAAAACCGCAATTATTTTTGCACCAATTTAATAAAATTTCAAATCGGTTGAACAACTAGGATTTCGATCAAAATTGTATTTATATAATTCCTTTATAATAATGGTATCTGATCGATTATTCAGTTTAAATTTGGGTCTTGTATTCACGATTACAACAATTTGTGTGCGAATTATTTATTAATCGTTTATTTGTGTATATTTATTACATATGTGCGAATATTTTAACGGCAAGTTGAGACAAAAATTGCGATAATGTTGAAATGACGTCAAAATAACGACAAAATAATCGAATCATTATCAAAAATTAAATTTTCAGACATTTTCTCGTCATTTTGGCACCATTATAATTTTTGATGCTATTTGGGTTGTTATTGACGAATGTGTGTGTATTACATCATTTTTTTCTACGCTTGATCGTTTTTATTTTAAGATTTTATGATCTGCAGAATATTCTAACATCACTAAAAATGTTCCTTTTGCCATGCATTCTTTAACAGAAAAAATTTATTCTCTTCTTTAGTGTTATAAAATTTTAAATCTACTTTGTTTCAATAAGCTTAATTACACTTGACTTTTGCAGGACAATATGATTCCCGATCGTCTTTCGCATACATATTTTTTCACTCTTTCTCTCTCTCTCTCTCTCTCTCTATTACAGAATTAATTATATTTGATAATATTATTATATTTATAAAATAAAAAAATTAAATTGACGATGTACGGTGTACTTTTACTCTTCGCTATCCATTTCCACGTTCTCCAGCTGTTCTTCCACTTTGCCTTTAAGAGCAGTAAGACTGAGAGGAGTATCGAGCATCTCACGTCCCTCGGGCTTATCCCGCTTGGATCTGTATAAGGGATTCTCGAATCTGCCACCACCAGTTGGTTGCGTTATTCTTTCCGCGTCATCAGTCTGCTGTCCGCTCGTTCCGGCAACGTCAGCAATTTGGACGTTGCCTTCTGGGATGTTTTCAAAACGAGCGAAACCGTGTTTCTGCTTCTCCGCACGAATTCCATCTCGAACGGATGACACTGCTTCCATGCATCCCGAGAGAATGCTGCAAAGGTTACATTTCATCAGAAAAATGGACGATTATACAGGGTGGGGGGTTATAAGTTTACAACCCGAAGTGTAAAGGTAGATTAGGTTAAGACAAACGTAAAAGTCCCATACCGTTTTGCGAGATTCGCAATAATTATCGAGTTATTAATGACAGAAATCTGAGGAATGGGAGCGCGCCGTAGGTCCGGTGAGATAAAACAACGAATAGCGGCGCATTGTCTGTCCCCTCGCCGCGCAACGGCAGCAGTTGTTGGATCGACTGGGCCGCGCTGCAACGCTTCTCCAATCATCTATGCCGGCGCGCTCCCACTCTTCAGATTTCTGTCATTAATAACTCGATAATTATTGCGAAACTTGCAAAACGGTATGGGATTTTTATGTTTGTCTTAACCCAATCTACCTTCACACTTCGGGTTGTAAACTTATGACCTCCCATCTTGTATATCGTTCTTATATACAGGGTGTCCGGAATGTGATCATTAATATTTTGTGTACTGGTAGAACTCGTTAAAACAATTAAAAAAGTCCTGTGCCATTTTACAATTTTTTCAATATTTATTCCGTAATTAATTAAAATGTGTAAACGAATGAGCGCACGAGAAAGCGACAGGACCGGCTCTGTGTATAAGAAGATGGCTTACCTCTTAACAACGATGTAAGTAAACAGCTGATTTCGGGGCGGAGTGACCAGCGTCACATAACAACGGCCGCTGGTCACTTACTATTATTATTGTTACTTACTAATCACTATTGCTTCGAATCATTTATTTTTAATACTATAAATCATTTTCGCTGATGTTTTTGGGATCACTGAGTTCGAATTGGCTATTACTTGCATTCAAAATGGCGGATCCAATATGTCGACCGGTACTACAAAAAAGTGATACTGACTTTTGGAAATTTCAAAATCATCAAATTAACAAAAATCAGGGCGCTATTGTAACAATATGTTCTTGAGACTAAATAAAGCAAGAAAGTCTAGTACCACTTTTTTTTCCGACAAATAGTTAGCGAGATATCGTAAGTTAAATATTGAAAAAAGTTACCAAGTTATCCTTAAATATCTCAAAAAAATATTAGACAAATAAAAAAATGTTTTAGACAAAAGTTCAAATTAACTAATAGAAAAAAACAGTGTAATAAAAAATAAGAGTTCCCATTTAAAAAACGCAAGTTGACCTTCAAGTTGATCTTGAAAATAAAGGTCAAGGTCAAAGTCAAGGTCATCATAAGGTAGCTCACTTAAATCCCTACAACTTTTATTCAAATAATTTTCCTTGAAACTTCAATACTGAAGAGTTATTAGGGTGGTCCGTTACTTTTGGGACACCCTGTATAATTAAGTTTATATTAATTCATGTTTAATAAACACACATACACACACACACTAGGGAAAAAAATTTAATATTTCTAATAAAACTGTTCAGTTGAGGCATTTTTTAATAGCAACCAAATATCTTGTTTTATATAACAAAATATTTAGTTGTCTCAACTAAATATATTTTTGTGCTTTGTTTTCTGGACTAAATGATTTTGTTCTTAGACTTCATATATAAAAATTAAGCATTTTAGTTATTTTATCCATAAAAATGACATAATAACGAAATATTATTTTACATAAACTAAAATAACGCCCAATGGATACTATTTTGTCTTTCTGTGCACTAAAATTTAGATTTTATATATTGTTGCGACCGCGCCTTTGCGGGGCAACGTGGTGCTCACGCCGTTGGAACCGAGATCGGCTCATTTGGAATAAGTGAACGGAGAAATCCTGACAGCGAAAATAACAACAGTTGACAGTGAGTCTCTGACAAGCTGTCATCGAGGACAGACACGAGAATGATAAAATAGAGAATTGTTCCTCTAAGAAGCTTGAGCGAGCTGCGCTGTGAATAGTAAAGCTTTATATTTGTTTCGCGAGTGTTTTCATTTACCTGAATGCAAGCACAAGTGCAAGAGTGAGCGTAACAATATTAAGAAAAAATTATGGTGTTCTTAACAAAATTCATATAGTTAAAGCTTTTTGGTTGTTATAACAAAAATATTACGTTATACGAACAAACCGTAACCAAACAAGATATTTGTTTACAGGAACTAAACAGTTTTGTTGGGCATATTTTAACCAAATTATTTAACCAAAATTTTGTTGTTACAACAAAATTTTGGTTCGCGCAACAATACATTTTTCCTAGTACACACACACACACACACATATAGTTAGATTTGAACAACAATACATTTTTCCTAGTGCACACACACATATAGTTAGATTTGTAAGTAACAAAAAATAACGATTGGTTACTTTTTGAGTAACGGTAAGGGGAACGAGTACTTTTCTTCATCGAATAACGATTAACGGTAATTAATTACTTTCAGAAAGTAGCTTTTTGGTTTCCATTGCGTCGGCTGTTCGACACTCTCGCACGCCTTGTGCGCGATTTCGCGGAAAGGCGCTACGAAACGGATGACGTATATATGCCTGTACGCTGAGAGAGAAATGCATTATACTCACTGCCCCAAGGAATAACCGAAGTACAGGAAGCCCAGTAGAAGAAGAACAATGACGACGAGCGGTGTCCCGAGAAGTGGCCCGAGCGCGACTGCCAATCGAGAATCCTTCACGGCTGCGCCTGCCGTCTCCGCGCTCGTCACGTCGATTCCTGTGCCTGACAAAAAATTCCCCTTTGTTTCTCTCTCATTGATTATCATTTCTTCGCTTAGGCTAGTAGACTGTTATATTTTCGACGCGAAATGCAGCGCTTCTAATTATATAACCACACAAAAAAATGTCTTAATCTGGTGACTAGACCCATATATCCCTATGTACTTTGACCCGCTGAATCCGAATCCGCCATCAGAATTGGCCCATCGGGTCAGAGTTTCTCATAAAACTCAAAAAATAGATAAAAATTCATAAAAAATTTGTTTTACGACTATCTTCTAAGATTTATTCAATATTTATACATTATATTTATTTTTATTTACTTTCACAATAGTTTTCATATATTGATGGCAACAAATGGTGCAATTTTGTTTAAAATGGCCAAAATTTTTAATTTCATAAAGAAAATTAAGATGGCAAGGCCGAAAAATACCAAATATAAATTTTTTTCTTTCAAAAAAAATTTATTCTTAATACGGTTTTCTTTAACGGTTTCATCAAAATATCGCGCATTTTTCTCCTTTTTCTTCACTTAGATCGTCCTTTCTCGCACTAGTTCTTTTTCCTCTTTTTCCAGCAAGTCTCAAGTACATATACCTGTTTCTTTTTCACTCTTGAGAGTGTACGCTAGTTCTTCAAAAAAGAAAGAAAAAAAAACAGACCAATTAACTATCGTTTCTTCACATACAGATCGGCGGAATGTTATCCTTTTGACGATTAAACGCGAACCTTTATCGTTTATTAAAAGTGCACCTGTAGTTCGATTTATTGGAATAATTAATGGTGTCAAATACCAAGTAATATTCCTTTGTGCATTCGAAGAACCAATAATTTCAACATTATAATTTATGAATTATTCTTGAAACTCGGTCAAAGCATTTTCATGGCGCGGGAGAAGTACGCGAAGTATAAAATGTACGGAATTAAATTTTCATGACAAATAAATCACATTTCGAGCATGCCGCACTCAAAGGGACACGTACAGTTCGATCACGTAGTTGTATATGTGTATATACAGGGTGTCCCGTTATAATGTTCCACCCCAAATAACTCTTCAGTATTGAAGTTTCAAAGAAAATGATCTGAATAAAAGTTGTACGGATTTAAGTGAGCTACCTTATGATGGCCTTGACTTTGACCCTGACCTCTACTTTCAAGGTCATTTGAAGGTCAACTTGCGTTTTTTAAATGGGAACCCTTATTTTTTATTACACTGTTTTTTTCTACTAGTTACTTTTTTCTACTAGTTACTTTGAACAACTTTTGTCTAAAACATTTTTTTATTCGTCTAGTATTTTTTGAGATATTTGAGGAAAACTTGATAACTTTTTCAATATTTAACTTACAATATCTCGCTATTTGTCGGAAGAAAAAGTGCTACTGGACTTTCTTGCTTTATTTAATCTCAAGAATATATTGTTATAATAGCGCCTCGACATTTGTTAACTTACTGATTTTTGGAAATTCCAAAATCATCAAATTAACAAAAATCAGGGCGCTATTGTAACAATATATTCTTAGGACTAAATAATGCAAGAAAGTCTAGTACCACTTTTTCTTCCGACAAATAGTTAGCGAGATATCGTAAGTTAAATATTGAAAAAGTTATCAAGTTTTCCTCAAATATCTCAAAAAATATTAAACAAATAAAAAAATGTTTTAGACAAAAGTTCAAATTAACTAATAGAAAAAAACAGTGTAATAAAAAATAAGGGTTCCTATTTAAAAAACGCAAGTTGACCTTCAAATGACCTTGAAAATAGAGGTCAAGGTCAAAGTCAAGGTCATCATAAGGTAGCTCACTTAAATCCCTACAACTTTTATTGAGATCATTTTTCTTGAAACTTCAATACTGAAGAGTTATTTGGGGTGGGATATTTAAATGGGACACCCTTTATATATGTATGTGTGTGTGTGTTCCAATTATGAAATTGAATAAAAAATCCGTGCCGTCACGGGCTTTCGTGATGTCAAAAGCACTCTCAATCGATATTGTTGTGACGAACAATAAGGACATCACGGGCAAAACCACTTTATCGCTTTTGTGTGACTATATTTCCGATTTTATCCATACGATTTCTAGTTTTCCCAATTATATCGATCCTATGACGAGATCGCACAGTATAAATCGCAATGAAATTGTTCTCCGAAGTTGCTGCGAAGATCCGCCGGCGAGAACAGAATGAACGCACTAACTTTGCAGCAAGTCCTGCAGGTTCTCCACCGCTTCCTGGATCGCGATGGCGGAATAGTCACCCTTAGCCTTCACGAGGACCTCGACACCTTTGCTCCAGGTGCGTCGGACGTGCCAGGCGATCTGCGCCGCGTATCTTTCCAGAGCTTCGTCCGCTGTGGTCTGCACGATTGCTAGGGAGATGGTCTTCTTCGACATAGAGACGCGCCCACCGCAGTACGGACAGCAGTGACCTTCCACCTGTGAAAATATGATGCGCCAGTGTGCCGAGAAAACGTCAATCGAATAAGGGAATGAGACGCGTGATGAATTGATCCTTCAGCTGCTGCGAAACCACTTGGTTATTCGCGTTAAAAAATTGAAGCTAGTCCATTGGAATTAAGCCAATTTCATTTCAGGGTTGCATACGAGGTATTCTATCTTAATTGTGCACCCTGATTAACATCGCAGAAAGTGGTCGGATGAAAAAATGTTTTAAAGAAAAGTTGTTCGGTTTGAAGGGGAGACATAAGACAACGGTATCATTTTGTTTGATAGCGCCACTTTCGAGATATCTACTGATCATCACTTTTCTTAAATGAGAGCTCCAATTTTTTATTATATCATCTTTTATTCCTAATTAATTTGGATCCTTATATCCCCTTTCAAACTAAACAACTTTCGTCTATAACATTTTTTTCATCCGACCACGATGTTAATCATAATTAAAACGGTACACAATTAAAACGGGACACCCTGTATATAGTGAATTGACTACTCCAAATTAAAACTGTCTCTTATTAACATTTTCAGATTCTTTTGATGTCTTATTTATGCGACACGCTCCAAATTTTGTCCCATTTGGGTTTGGTCGGCCAAAGCTTATTCTTCGCACAAAGCCAAGTTTTTTCAATATTCTTTATATTTCAAAAATGATCGATGCTTCGATATTTTTTCTAAGACAAAAATGTCAAATTTTCAGGAAAATAGCGCTATGTAGAAAATAGATGCGAATTATTGGACACCCTGTATATATACAAGATAAAGTTACTTTTGAAAAGTAGCGTTATGCAGAATTATTTGTATCGTGAAATTAAATCAATTTTCTAGTAACTGAAAGAACTTTTCTATCATATAATTAGTTCTAATTTTATTTATTTTTTACTATTGGTTTAATTGTTTATGTTCTTACGTTCAATTGTTGAACTAACTCAATTTTTATCCAATGCAACTCGGTAATAGATTATGCAACAAAATTTACATAATTCTGAAACTTCAATATTTTTATCCGATTTAAATGTTTTTCCGCGAGATATGTGTGTATGTGTGTGTGTGTGTGTGTGTGTGTGTGTTTATAGAATACACAATATTATCTCTTATAATCAAAGAGTTTATAAATTTTTCACATCAATGGGAAAAACGCAGCATCTAACCGTGAGAGGATATTCGCAGTCTGTGAATCCGCATCTCGGTCTCTGAATGGCGCAGATCTCTTCGAGGTAATCATCTTGAAATAAAATTTCCTGGCAGGAACATTTCGGACAACTGTACTCGGTATATCTGGAAAAATTATTGGGAAATAATCTTGTGATATTGAAGGAAGAAAAAGGAATGAGGCTCGAATAATAGAAATAGAATTGAAAAATGAAAATAATTTTGACAAACTGGGAAGTAGAAATTGGGCGGAAAAATTATCAGTGAATAAAACCACTTACAATCGCGTGATGTCATCGTCGCTCAGAAGCGAGAAAAATTCTTACGAATTACATCGATATAATATATTATATCTATAAAATGATACTTGTAATCAATCTAGCAGATTTGTATAAAATATTTTTCTTTTTAACTTTAACGATTAATAAATTATCATGAAATTAATCTAATATGCAACACACCCACATTTTTAATCTGACTTTTCTCATGATTGTGTCACGTTGATTCTACTGTTATTTATTAATCGTTTGAGGAAAAGGAAAATGTATGAACTATTTTACAGATTTGCTCGATTGCAAACATCATTTTATAAACATATCTATTTTTATTTACTTCATTTTTTATTATTTTACTTATTTATTTATTCACGCATTCTATTTATTTCAATATATTTTGCAAAAATTTTTAAAATGTTCTTCCTCGTTTCTGACTTTATAAATCAAGATGACAGCAGCAAAGAAAGAGAAGTCTCAAGAAAAAATATCTACATTGTACCTTTCTCTCTCTCTCTCCCCCCCCCCTCTCTCTCTCTCTCTCTCTGTCTCTCTATTTCTCTTTTTCCCAGATTAAATTACGTGATCTGAGAACAATAGCTATGCTCATTCCAGTTTGAATAGATTTTATTGAACGGCAGCGTTAATACGCATCATCATTGCTAGGAACTTACTTACTTCACTGTAAATCTGCCTCTGGAGAACTCCCTGCGATCTTGAAAAGTCCTCCACTCCCAGCTGGTAAACGGCTGCCCCTCGTTCGCTAGCCGAATCGACTTTACCTGTGTCTCCCTTATGGGTAGTAGGATACTCAAGGTGCGATTTGCGCTTGGCAGGACGACGCTATCATAACGACAAGGCACTTGCTCGAGATGTGGCGCCGCCATTGAGCTACCGTTCCAATTTGCAGGATCGGTCCAGAAAAAATTACCCGCCCTCGACCATCTGCTGACTTTCGCGTCTGCCTTCGCATTGCTCAACTTGCATTTATAATACACAGAAAATTATTTTAACACGAACGTGAAACATGCGGTGAATATTTTAAATTAGTAAATTTGGTCCGTAAGCCCAGCCTTTTAGAGATTCTTTTAAATTTGGATAGTATATTAATGGAGGAATAGTGTGTAGACGCATGTGCAATTAGAAAAATATTGATCGTATCTTGAAACTGAGATGATCGAAATAAAAATTAAAATTCATATATCGTATGTACGAAATGTACGAGATGTACCATTATCACGTTTTGAATTTTAGCAACCAAGTTATTCTTATTGAGCTTTGGAAATTTCAAAATCACTAAATTAACAAAAATCAGGGAGTTATTGTAACAATATATTCTTGAGACCAAATAGAGTAAAAGAGTCTAGTACCACTTTCCTTCCGACAAACAGTTAGTGAAATATCGTTGAAGTTAAATATAAGTTAAATATTGAAAAGTTGTCGTTTTCCTCAAATATCTTAAAAAATATTAGGCAAATAAAAAAATGCTTCAAACATAAGTTGTTGAGATTAATTGGTAGAAAAAGATGATATAATGAAAAATTCGGATTTTCGTTTAAGAAAAGTAATGATCAGTGAGTATCTCAAAAGTGCCGCCATCTGTAAACAAAATGCTGTCGCTGCTCTATGTCCCCCTTCAAGCTAAACAACTTTTGTCTTAAGCATTTTTAACGCAGTGTTTCTGATATATTTGGGTGGGTCCTTTAAAACGGGACACTCTGTTTAACTACATGTAATCATTCTTTTTTGGGCAGTTCTTTTTGGACAAATTCTTTTCCAAATCAGTTACGAGATAACTTGTATTTGTTACGAGATAACTTTTGGTAGGCAATATATTAGTGTATTTTGGAGTTTAATCTAGATATATGAAAACGTCCTAGCACAAAGGTGCCTTGAACCTTTATAATTCGAAAAGCACCTCATAAAAAAACATTTGATTATAGTGTTTTGGAAAGCTCTCGAAGTTAGCTACAAAAATATACAATAAAAAATATAGTGTTCCATTCAAAAAATTAAACGTGACCTTCATGTGACCTTCAAATAACTCTTCAAGGTCAAACCAATGGTACCCTCTTATGACCGTTACTTCGAAACCATACAACTATTGTCTGAAACATTTTTGTTTTAAATGGATTTTGAGAGATCTCAGTGCGCAGATTAAAATGGCCTACCCTGTATACACACATACACATATATATCTTTCTTATTTTAGAAATCAAAATAGTCACAGACAAATACAATTAAATGTTTAATTATTATGGAATATTATTATATTATAAGGAAAAGTAGAGAAATTATTGTTTGTAGCGGATAATTTAACATTTGACAAAATCAAGAAACAAAATATTCGCATGTGGTGGAAATTTTACCCATGGTAGCCTTTAAGGATTAATGAACCGTGTTCACCTGCAGTTTATTGTTTCTCGGCAAGACCAAGGATCCTTGTCTGGGCAGATCGAGCGCGGACAACCTGAGATCGCCGGGTCCAGCGATACCCACCGCGTGGCGGGTCTGCTCGGGAAAAGTCACACGGCTGTCGGTTTCTGGAACACGACCGTCTTCCCAGTTGCCGGCGGTTTGCCACTCCAGATCTGGCAGCCAGTGCTTCTCAAGAGCAACGGCGCATCCGTACGACGACACCAAGATAACGCAGAGCGCGAGTCGGCAACTTAACGCGGAGAAGCCGAACATGCTTCTTCCTTCTCTTCCGTTTCTACTTCCCTTCCGAGTTAGTTGATTAATCGGACGAGAAACAGTCGACGTAACGAATGCGTCGCGAGTTGCGCGAGTTCTTCGCGACTAATCCTCACTCGTGCGACTTAGGAAACGAGTCGTTATTCGTGCTCGTTGTTATTAACGGTTTGATTTACAGCACTCCTCCGAATTCCGGAGGGAAAGAAAAACGTGACGAGGCGGGCGAAAGTAGCTGGACGTGATTGAGAACTCCGACGAGCGGAAACCACGGCGGATTATCGAGACCGAATGGGGGCGTGCCTGATTCATGGCGGTTCTGGCGCGGACTCGCGTTATTTATCGCGATCAGGTCGCCGTGAGTCCCACCGTGAATGCGCTGGAACCGAAGTCTTTATCGTGTGACTATGAATTCACGTTGCGATCGAAGTATCGAAACGTGCGACGGAACGTGCGTCGAACGCGTCGCGTTGCGCGCGCAAACGCGACGCCGACGTCGCGATATTGAAACTCTATTAGCGCACATTACAAATATATGTTATTGTTCTGTCGAAGAGCCGAGTGCGCAGGCGGTCGTGGAAATCGCGCTCGCAAAAATGGAGCCGCTTGGAAAATCCGACGCCGACGAAAATCTGTCGCCGACGCAATTTATTCATTCCAGAGTCGAAACACGCGCGAACAGCTAAATTCCCGTTATTTACATGAAATATGTCGACGTGTTTGCAATCATCGTTTATTATAATGGTATACACTTAATAAATCATGCTAGCGAATGCGCGCGTCGCGCACGATAAATATCGGAATAACATTCGCCGCCGGTAAATCCTCATTTCACTGTAGCAACTAAAATAATAATAGCGCAAGCGGTGTCAAAGGTGCATCCACACATACGCACGCACTCACGCACGCATACACATACACACGCGCGCGCGCTCACACACACACACACACACACACACACATACGTATGTCACGTGTCACGAAAAGAAGATTATAAGATTTATTATCACATTCAGTATATAGGTACAATCATACAGCAGCGAATGGTTTCTTTGTGCCTATGTGTGACGGTCGGAAGTAAATATCGAGCAATAAAAATGTGTGCGTCAGCAGTGTCGCAGTTACGGCGGTGGGGAAATGGAATTTTTCATTAGCACATCGAGATATTATTCCTATCTATTGCACAGTTATTATTAATCGACATCGAATCGTCGCTGTAATAATTTGCGATGGATTACGACAGGTGAAAAACTCATTCCAAAACTGCAAAATCGAAATTGACGAAACTCGGCTGCTTTCGTCGCGGTGCCGTCGTTATAATTCGTGATCGCAAGGCGAATTGAAAGACCATTCAGAGAGAGAGAGAGAGAGAGAGAAGGGGGGGGACGAGAGAGTGAGGAAAGTATTATTTAAAGTAACTCATTTAATAATAATTATATTATTGTACAAGTCCCAGCTAATTGAAAGATACGATTTTCTTCTCTCTTCCTTTCATTCTCTCCTCTCCCTTTTCTCCAACACCGATAAACGCGTATTAACCCTTTAACGCCCGACTTTTTCATAAGTGTTTTAAGAATAAAATTCGAGTTCTTTTTTAACTGAGACTATAAGTAGTGATAACCAAAAAAAATATCAGAATTTTACATTGGTTTTTTTTATCGTTCGTTTTTTGTTTATTGATAAATATGACTTGAATTCTAAAAGCATATACGAAATGAGCAACCTATACAGAGAAAAATGAAGGATAATCTATACGACATAACTCTGATAGTCAGCTTGACATTTCTGAGCTGAAACTTTGCTATATTTGTGAACGAAGTTTATCATTCAGAGCGCCAAGCTTACTATTTCAGAAGAATATCTTATAGATCACCATTTAGATTGTCAATCGTCATTTTCCGCCGCATAAAAAACTGTGGGTCACCAGGTTTCACGAAAATAAGTTGATTTTTTGATTTTCGTATCCACCATATTGGATTCGCCATTTTGAATTTCTATATTCTTTTAATTTCACATTTTGCATCTGAGAAAGTTTCCAAATGTATAAAATTACAACAGATACCAATCTATTCATTTATAATGCATTTCTAGATGTCAGTAACAATGCTAACTATGCCTACTTGGAATTTGACAAAACATGTTATGATTAAAACTGAGCTAAAAACAGACTAAACCGAATCTACATACAATCTACATACCACTTTTCAGAAGAAGAATTCACCTTTACAGTGGTGCAAAGAAAACGAAAATATCTCCCTTTTTGACTAAGTTATGGATTCTTAAATGCGTTTCTGGTAACTATAGTTACCAGTAGGCGTTAAAGGGTTAAACACAATATACTCGAATTATTAATCGCGACGAGAGGAGCGGAGGAGCTGACGAAGTTAGGGAACAGCTGCAGGAGAACGGAAAATTTCTTCTACGATTGCGCTGGACGAAATATCTCCGTCATGTTTGCGTTACATTCGCAGTCGGAGCGTGGACTGTCGACGATGCACGAACTTGATCTGAAGAACTCCTCGGAGGAAGAGCAGGATTCTGGAGTCTCATGGTCGATCTTAACACACTGAATGCCGTGTCACTCATAAATGAATGATGCTAATAATTTATCCGCAGCACGTTTTATGTACACACGTGTGCGTTAATTCGCGTAGCGAGAGGAGAAGCATTGTTCCTCCACTCCGGCCATCATTCTCCGCTCGAGTCTAACGCGAAATGTAAACAAATACCTCGCCATGATGACTCATGCGCGCCTCCTCTTCCCGGTCTGCCAGTAAAAACTTCTTTGCAATATTCGGGAAACATGTATCGGCCTTGGAGACGTCTATTGTTCGGATCTACGGCTTCTTCTAACAATTTCGTCCTAGACCCGCCCACCACCGGCAACTGGCAGAGAATGATGGCGGAGTGGGGGAGCAACGCTCTCCTCTCGCGGCGCGAATTAATGCACGTGACTGTACATGTCCCATTCTAGAGGGTTACGGCCACAGGTGACAAGATAATTAATGCGAAACAATATTTAGAGGTAAAAACGATGACAGTTGAAGAGAAATGTTGCAAGGCTACAGGGAAGACCTTGGTCGCAATTAGCTTGGCACGCAATGTGTTAACATTCAACTTCCGCGGACGATCGCGTCTCGCTCTCAAGCATTAGCATCAAAATATCTCGATCGAGGAGAATGAACCAATTAACGGTAAAGAAAAAGGAAGGAAGATACTTGTGATCAGTCAATCGTTTCGATTCGTCATCATTTGGCTCACATATGCTTACTTTGCTTATGTACATCGGGTTTCAAAACGATATTCAAAACGATTTTTTGTATGCAGTTCGAAGAGACAACTTAACCTCTGAGACTTTCTTGGCAATACAGTTCTCCCTCATTGGATCGTCAATTACGTTCCAAACTGCAACCAACGAAAATGTTCGATTCGTTTTGAAATCTGTATAATCTGTATAAGTTGTACAATCGTGGACAGAAAGGTTACCCGCTGCTGTTTGCATGAGTTTCGAAACGCATCTGCCTTGTTCAATGGGGAAACTTGCTTCCCAATGGGAGAATCCACCGATTGGATGAAACGGACGCATTCCGAAGCACTCTAGAAAGTAGTGAACATTCTCTATACTTTACGACACATTGACGACTTGCAACAAATTGGCGCAATAAATTTCCAAGCTGCTACTTCAGCTGATTACAGATATCACGGCATCGTAACTTACTCCTCACTGCTAATTAGACCTTCCCTTTGTAGAACGGTTCGTTTAGGACTTATATCCAAGTAGCAAAATACTGTTAAATGACATCTTAATAACATTTTAATGGCGTCTCGGAGGTCAATAAGATGCCACTAAGACGTTATTTAACATCACTCTGTTACTTTGGAATTCTGCGCACGTGTATCGACAACTGTCGGCTCAATACGTGTCGTCGCGCAGGTACAACTCTCATAGAAGAGTATTAATGGCTATAATAAATTAACCAGCGATAAGTTACTGTCGTTCAGTAATTTTAATACTCGTATAAGTAATCAAATTCTATTTATTATATAAAATTTTATTACATCCGTATGAGTAATAGGTACTCATACGGAGTAATAAAAATCTATCTATTATTATAAAACTTATTACTCATATGGAAGTAAAAAAATTACCGAACAACGATAACTTATCACGAGCCAATTTATTGTAGCCAGTAATACTTCTCCATATGAGAATAGTTCCATAAAACAGCTACGCAACAAAAACTAAACCGACAATTCGTATCGTCGACAAACGTATACCAAACACAGTCCCAGATATTTTTATATGATGCTCTTCAATGAACTCATAAAAGTGCTCCTACATACAGGGTGTCCCATTTTAAAGGACCCACTCAAATATCTCAGAAACACTGCGTTAAATCGAAAAATGCTTAAGACAAAAGTTGTTTAGCTTGAAGGGGGACATAGGACAGCGATAGCATTTTGTTTACAGATGGCTCCATTTTCGCTCAATATTTACTGATTATCAATTTTCTTAAATGGAAATCCAAATTTTTTATTATATAATCTTTTCCTATCAATTAATTTGAACAACTTTTGTCTGAAACATTTTTTTATTTGCTTAATATATTTTGAGATATTTAAGGAAAACTTGGTAACTTTTCCAACATTTACCTTACGATTCAACTATTAACTCATTAACCTCATAACCTCATTAACTATTTGTCAAAAGAAAAAATAGTATTAGACTCTTTTACTTTATTTACTATCAAAAATATACTACTATAATAATGCCCTAACTTTTGTTAAGTTAATAATTTTGAAATTTCCAATGGTCGATAAGTTAATAAAAGTTAGGGCATTATTATAGCAATAATATATTCTTGATAGTAAATAAAATAAAAAAGTCTAATACTATTTTTCTTTCGACGAATAGTTAGTGAGATATCGTAAGGTAAATGTTAGAAAAGTTACCAAGTTTTCCTTAAATATTTCAAAATATATTTAGCAAATAAAAAAATGTTTCAGACAAAAGTTGTTTAAATTAATTGGCAGAAAAAGATGATATAATAAAAAACTGGGATTTCCATTTAAGAAAATTGATATTCAGTAAATATTGCGAAAATGGAGCCATCTATAAACAAAATGCTATCGCTGTCCTATGTCCCCCTTCAATTTCAACAACTTTTGTCTTAAGCATTTCTCGATTTAACGTAGTGTTTCTGAGATATTTGAGTGGATCCTTTAAAATGGGACACCCTGTATATCGCAACGGCGATTGCGACGTTCGTCGCGACGATGAGTGCAAACTCGTGGCGCGGACTGACATTTGATCTTGAAATGGTCAATCGGTACGAGGCTTGTTTCGAAATCGGTTTCGGAAACTTTAGTTTTAGTTATAAAGTTGGTAGGCCTTAAACAAATTTAAATACGTTCCGTAATTGATTCATGTGACCGACGTTACGATCGGGAGATTCGATAATCAAGATAATAATTAACAAAAAATCGATGCATTTCTCTATCTAATATTATAAAATTAGTAACTAAAACCAACAGTTTGTGAACAGAAGTAGTATATGTCTGTGAACGTCTAACTGTGACCAACTGTCAAAATCAATTACAAAACGTACCTAAGTTAGTTTCAGGCCTACCAATCTTATAACTAAAATCAAAGTTTCCGAAACCGATTTTGGAACGCAAGGATTGTCTTTACACCACTGACGTCTCCAATCGGCTGTCACTGAGAGCCAAATAAGCTCACGTCCCGAGTTTAACATCACGATAGACGTGTAGAAGAGCCTTAGCCATTCCTTATATAAAAATACTGCTAGCTGTAATAAATTGGCTAGTGATTATTGTTGCCCAGTAATTTTATTACTCATATATGAGTACTAAAATTACTAAGCAACAATAATTTACCACTGACTAATTTATTACAGCAAGGAATAATTTTTTTAGGGATGACGTGACACGCAGACTTCTCGAGGAAGCTGCGCGAAGCCGCAATCTCGAGAAGCTTCGCCCACCGAGATAACCATCGCGAGTTCGCCACGGCCATTGATCGCTGTTCAGCGGGAGAGAAGCATCATCAGATGCTCGATTATCAATACCGATTACGATTGACGATTATCAACTTACTTGTGAGCGACACGCAGTCGTGAGCGCCACGAATCAGGCGCCCGGGTGGTGGATTGATTTTATCAAAAAACGGAAATCAACGAAGTTAAAACGCGATTCTCATTCGTCGATCGGCTTGTCTGCCGACGAGCCGATCGCGTTTCCCGACATGAGACGGGTTCGCGCGCGTTTCTCTCGCGTGATCGTCCACAAGGATCGAAGCGTACAGGGAAGAAGAAGGAGGGGTGGACAAGAGCAAAGGGAAAGACAGTCCGTGCTCCTTTCGGCGAGGAAGCTCTACTGAGCCATCTCCTCGTCTTCGCCTATGCCTTTGCCCAAGCTCAGTAAATAACGCGGAGCAGCGACGACGTCGGCGTTGGGTCTCCTCGCTGTCGCTCCGGCCAACTTCCAGCCGCGTTTCCCGATGCCGAAGCTGAACGGCTGGTTACTGCGCTTCTCCTCCATGAGATCGTCCGCGTTGTCCTCGCGAGAGTGATAAGCCTCGAGGTTGTCGGCCGGAAGGTAATCCAGGTTGAGGGGGTGGCTGTTGCGCTTGCCTATGCCGAACCTGTAGTCTCGCAGACGCTTGCCGATGCCGAAAGAGAAGGGCCGTGTTCTCTGCGAATTGGAATTATTAGGACGTGTGAAGGTTTCATAATTGCATTATGCGACTGTACGTGTGCGGATAATTCTCATTGCATGATACATCGTATCACGCGTGCGCACACATACACACACACACACACACACACACACACACATACACAATTAGGATATACAGAGTGTTCCAGGACTATTGTACGATACATTGGCTACACGTTGACTGCAACATATCAGTCTATACCTAACCTATACAGTAGAGAAGTTGCAGCAACATCGCTGCAACGTTGCAACAATATTGCTGCAACTTTTGTGCTATATAGGAGAATACTTCGCTTCCGACGCGGTGTGTTTCTTGAATTTTTAATTCAGCATGTATTATTTCAATGTTAATTAATTATGTATGTTATTTAATGCTAATTAATTGTGTGTTATTCAACAAAACTCGCGAGAAGACGGTATGCGAGTTTATTTGTAATTGGTGCACGGAATATCCGGAGAAAAATTATTATACAGGGTGGCCTACACGTAAAGTGTGACAATCCTAAAAAACTCTAAAAATATTTATCGTGCCAAAAAGTTGTTCATAAAAAAGTTTCATGTATTCACATGAAGTCTTTCTAACTATATAAATAAAAATTCAGCCTTGAAGAGAGTGGGAAGGGGGGGAGGAATTTCGTAATTTCAAATGAAACTTTAGAAAAGTTATGAAAGAGTTAGACAAAATTTTGTAGAAAGAATTAATAAGTATTTATGAAATGTGGATGATTAATAGTTTAAACATGTAATAAAGTAAAAAAAGCTATGTTAAAACTTATTAACTATTAAAAGCTAAAAACTATGTAGTCAGAAGAACTATGTAACCTTTTATTGAATTTATGATTTTATCACATTAGTTTGAATACATTCTATTTTAAAACTTAATGTTTATAATTTTATATAGAAGCAATTTTTAAAGAAATGTTCCAGATAAAGTTTATTTCTTTTTTCTCACACAATCCGAATATGTAACATTTTATAGGAAGTGGTATTTAAAATTACGAAGTTATTTCCCACTTTCCTTCAAGAAGAAGGAGGGGCAAAATTTTATTTATATAGAAAGACGATATATATGAAATTTTCTCATGAATAACTTTTTAATACGACAAATATTTTTAGTTTTTGGGTTATTACACTTTATGTGGATCGCTCTATACAGGATATCTGTAAAGTCCGACTCCACCACTGGATCTCGGAAACGGCTTTAAATATGGAAAAATGTTTCAGACAAAAGTTTTGGCGGAAAAAATAGTAGTTTAATTTCAAAACGGATATTTTGGCAAAATAAATAGACTTTAAGTTCTCAAGTTGTCTTAAACAGAATAAAACAAAATGATTCATCCTTTGTGTACGTGTGACCTCAAAGTCGACATTTACCCGGCAATTTCTCATAGATGACTTGGAAGAAGTGCCGCCTGGAGCAAATGCGACACTGAGCTTGACAATATATGAAAGCTGCGGTTTCTGGCTTTAAAATGCTCTCGGGAATATCGTTCTTCCTCTACGATATTTTTCCTCTCTCTACGACTTTTGTTAATTTGATGATTTTGAAATTTCCAAAGGTTGATAAGTTAACAAAAGTTAGGGCACTATTCTAATAGCATATTCTCAAGACTAACTAGAGTAAAAAATTCTAATACTATTTCTTCTTTCGACAAATAATTAGCGAGATATCGTAAATTGAATGTTAAAAAAGTTATCAAATTTTCATTAAATATCTAAAAAAATATTAAGCAAATAAAAAAATATCTCAAACAAAAGTTGTTCAAATTGATTCATAAAAAAGGATGATATAATAAAAAAATTGGAGTTTCCATTTAAAAAAAGTAATGATCAGTGAATATCTCGAAACTGGCAAATGTTCTTACAAACTTTCGTGTCAGTCCGAGATTGAGATTGATTTTCAAATTCCTGTAATTCGGAATGGACAGAGAATTACTTCACTTACCCGGAAAATTTGAGGTACGTTTCGATCGCGCATAATAACTGCTCGCTCGCAAGGGAATTCGCTCGATTTAGTGAACTGCGTCGCCTGGCGCGCAATTTCAGCGATATATTTTAAAGGACCAGGCATTTTAAAGGATCCACTCAAATATCTTAGAAACACTGCGTTAAACCGAAAAATGTTTCAGATTTCATTACTTAAATGGAAACTCCAATTTTTATTATATCATATCATTTTATTATATCATTATTTTCTACCAATTAATTTGAACAATTTTTGTCTGAAATATTTTTTTATTTTCCTAATATTTTTTTAGATATTTGCGAAAACTTGGTAACTTTTTCAACATTTAATTTACGATATCTCGCTAATTCTTTGTCGAAAAAAAAATAGTACTTGACTCTTTTACTTTATTTAGTCTCCAGAATATATTGTTACAATAATGCCTTAACTTTTATTAACTTATAGACTTTTGGAAATTTTAAAAAGTAACGGCATCTGTAAACAAAATGATAGTTGTTTTATATCCCCTTTGAAACCATACAACTTTTGTCTGAAACCTTTCGTATTATCTTTCATATTTTTCGACATTTTTGCCTGGCTCATTTAAAATGGGACAACTTAATGTATAGAAAAAGGGGGAGAAAGAAATTATATACATTTCAATATTATCACTTTGCCGATCGACCGGAATCCTTTAATTTAGTTCGATTTAGTTAGACTTTTTGATTTGATTTAATTTGATTCAATTAAACGTTCATCTTTTGGTTCAGTCTTCAAACAATAATACACAAATTTATACATTGTTTTTGCATCATGCTATTCTATCGGGCATCAATTTTATTTAATATTCTTTCGCACACATTCGAGAGCGAGACGTTTGCCACCAGCAAAGCAAAGAGATTTCTTAATGAAGAAGGGTGAGACGGCTTTATCCGCCCGCAACTCACTTTATCCTCGTTGTCGTCGACCCATCGCTTTCCGATGCCGAAGTTGTACAGTGGTAGCCTCTTGTACTCGGAAACGTAAGCGTACGACCTCTTCTCAGAAGGCTCCTCGTACTCAACATGGTTCAACAATGGATTTAATCGCGGCATATGCAGAGATGAAGACGGCATATCCTCCATCGCCGCCGTCGATTCACCAACCACGCTCAACAGACAGAGCATGATGAGCCTCATGGCAGTCAGACTCGTTGATGTTGGTCTCATGACGTCGTTGCGGATCTGCGAACAAAGGCCCAACCACTTGTAATTGGCAAATGTTCCTACAAACTTTCGCGTCAGTCCGAGATTGAGTTTTCAAATTCCTGTGGTTCGGAATAGACAGGGAATTACTCCGCTCATCCGGCAAATTTTAAGTACGTTTCGATCGCGCTTAATAACTGTCCGTTCGCGCGGGAATTCGCTCGATTCCGAACTGCGTCGTCTGGCGCACAATTTCGGCGATATCGGCTTTTTATTTCCTCCGCGATATATACAGGGTGTCCTATTTTGAAGAATCCACTCGAATATCTCAGAAAAACTGCGTTAAACCGAAAAATGTTTTACATTTCATTACTTTTCTTAAATGGAAATCCCAATTTTTTATTATATCATCATTTTCTACCAATTAATTTGAACAATTTTCGTCTGAAATATTTTTTTATTTGCCTAATATTTTTTGAAATATTTAAGAAAAACTTGATAACTTTTTCAACATTTAATTTATGATATCTCGCTCTTTATCGAAAAGAACAGTATTTGGCTCCTTTATTCTATTTAGTCTCTAGAATATATTGTTACAATAATGCCTTAACTTTTGTTAACTTTTGTTAACTTATCGACCTTTGGAAATTTCAAAATCATCAAATTAACAAAAATCAGGGCTCTATATGTAACAATATATTCTTGAGACCAAATAAGGTAAAAAATGTTTAGTACTATTTTTTCTTCCTACAAATAGTTAGTGAAATATCGTAAATTGAATATATTGAGAAAGTTACCAAGTTTTCTTTGAATATCTCAAATAGCATTAGGCAAATAGAAAAAGTGTTTCAGATAAAAGTTGTTAAAATTAACTGGTAGAGAAAGATAATATAATAAAAAATTAGGATTTCCATGTAAGAAAAGTAATGATCAGTGAATATCTCGAAAGTAGCGACATCTGTAAACAGAATGATATAGTTCTTTTTTGTCCCTCTTAAAACCATGCAACTTTTGTCTGAAACATTTTTCAATTTAACGCAGTGTTTCTGAAATATTTGAATGAATCCTTTAAAATGGGACACCCGTATAACACGCGTGGGCGTAAGAATGTCGTGGAGTATCGCGGAAAAGTCAGGAAATTAAGAGAAATAACGCAAGAACAAGAATGGGTGAATGAATGAGAGGGTGGGAGCCAGAGAGAAAGAAAGAGAGAGAGAGAGAAAGAGAGAGAGAGAGAGAGAGAGAGAAAGAGACAGAACGAAAGAGGGTACTAATAATAATACGGTCATCCTGGTCGTAACGATGATTGCCTTTACAACGTTCCGAAGTGTTTTATATCCATACGAAGAAATTCCAACGAGGACGTAAAAGGGAGATAACGCGTACTCCGCGGAAGGTTTTATAGCTGCTCCAGGGTGCAGATGCACGCGAATGGAATTCCGCCATGTAAAATAAAATGAAGAGTTATTTACGAGTAGCGAGGGATAAATGCCATCGCGTCGTCCGGTGGGAAGCAGCTACCTCCGTGGCGCGTACTAACAGGATTGTCGCGACAATTTTACGACGCGGATTTTCCGACAGTCCTAAGTATCATACCTCTTGGCAAAGTACCTTCACCGCCGGCGGATGCGAATCCCGACGTTAAATCTGGACAAAATATCGGGAGTCGCTTGTTCTTGCTCACTGCGCGTCACCAGGCGTCCGCGAGCAACGCGGTTTTCCACGGTCTCGTGCAACCGCGCAGCGTATGGGAGATTTTGTGGAAGTATCGATGGAACGCGCTAATTATATTCTTTTTATTTTTAATAGAGTTCTTCTCGTCATATGTTGCGAATTTACCGCATATTGGCATGTACCGCATATTAGCATGTACGTGGATTTGAATGTAAAGCGCGAATGTGTAAAGCGTAAACTAAGAAGAACATAACTAAAAACAATAGTCCAGTATGCGTAGAAGTAATTAATTTACTATTTATTAAATATTTAATTATTGATATTAAATATATGCTAACAGCGGGATGAAAGAGAGAGAGAGAGAGAGAGAGAGAGAGAAGAAGAAGCGCGCATGGAAAAAGAGAAAAAGGGAGAGAGAATGCGTTATTTATTATTCGTTCTGGAAAATAATTTCCTCAGATGCACATTATGATATATGGCTTACATTATATACAACAAAAAAATCAAATAAAATGAAATAAGAATAATACGTGGTAAAGAAACAACCATAAAAAATTATACGCTATATACAAATAAGGAAATAAATAAACACTTAAACAAACAAAGAAGAAAAAGAGGGCGTGTTATTTATTATAAGTTCTAGAGAGACATACTCAAACGTCAAATCATGAATAGTACATAATTGTACGCAGTATGAAAATAAAGTAGAATGCAGTAAACAATAAAGGTATCATCTGATAAAACGACGAAACCATAATTATATAATCTAAACAAATAAGGGAATAAGTAATTAAGAGCAGAAAAGGAAAAGGATGAAAACGAACAAAAAATTGAACAAACGAAATGAAATATGCTCAAACATCAAATCACGAATAGTGCATAATTGTACATAATACCAAAGTAAAACATAAAATAAAAAAAACAGAATAAAAATAAAATAAAATAAAAATACGAAATAGAAATAATATCCGATAAAGCGTCAAAATCATATTTACACAATCTGAACAAACAAGGAGATGAGTAATTAAACGCACAGAAAAAGAAAAAGTTAAAATGAGCAAAAAATTAAACGAACCAAAAGGAAGAAAGAAAATATGTTATTTATTATAAGTTCTGGAAAAATATTCACTCAAACGCCAAATCATGAATATTGCATGATTAATACATAATAAGGAAGCAAAATACGACAAGATAAACAATAAATATAACAAATTATAAAAGAATGAAACAATTGCTACGCACATAAAAACAACTAAACAATCAAACAAAAACAAAGAGAGAGACAGAGAGTCCAGGAAGACGCGGCTGGTTATCACAACATCATGCTAGCCGCTAAAACCGAAATCCGCTCGGAGGCATTCCGTTCAATATTTGATGGCGAAATCCGGCGGATTATGGATCCTTCTTGGTCCTACTTGGTCACGCTGCCTTTGGAGAGGCTTAAGCGGATCGAGGGGATGGGCACGAGGACATGTGGATTTAGATGAAAATGGCCGATAGAGGAGAGTCCTGAAGTATCGAGAAAATAATAATACGGGCCACTTTCGGCCATACGCACGCATCGCGACGCTACAGGCGCTTCGTTTATTCATTTTTTATTTTCTCCTTTAATCGTTCCGAGAGAATATTCCGCCAAGTTCGCACGCTGTACGTGCGATTAAACGACGTCGTTTATTAGGATTGGTTAAAAAACCACCGACCCCATATGCGATTCGCAGCTTTTAATAGTACGTAAAATAACGTTGGCGCGTCGCGGTCGATTCGAATTAGCGCCGCATAAAATTAAAATGGCGATTCCATTAGGTTGAGGGGAGAAGCGCCGGCAGCCAAGTAACGAACGCGCTTTCGTGCAATGCGACCACGCTCGACCGTGCGCGCCACAGCGTAGACTCGTAATGGTCGGCGAATGAAAGCGGGAGATTTTATCTCCAGTGTATTTTTTATCTTCAGTTTGTGAAACGGTTTTAACATGATTTTTTTTAGATTAAGTTAGAGACTCTTCAAATGGTCACAATTGCGAGCCACTATTTACGGGTTTGCATGATAATCGGTTGTGACAGATATGACAGTATAAAATTTGTTTGCGGTATAAAAAGATATTGACATTCTTTGTTTTATATATTCTTGTTTAATAGATGAAAATATAATAAAGATAACTGCGTGTTTCTCGAATTGTCCCCGTTATAATTATGACGTCAAGAGAGCGTGTTCTGTATATTTGTCATTTCGGCTTCTGTTATAACGGGCCAGGTTCACACTTAAAAATTTAAACTTAAGTGTATCATTTTGGCTGAAGTTTTTCTTGTACGTTTCTTGCCACTTTAAGTCACGTCATTTAACACGCTCACAAACGTATGAATTTTCAATTTAATTTCAGTTAAACCGATTAGAAAAGATTATATGATAATCTTATATGATATAATATAAGATTAGAATTATATAAAATCATGTATGTATATACATATACACACACATATATTATATATTATATAATTATATTATGTAATTATATATTATTATAAATAATTTTCATATATATATATATAATTATATATAATCCACGTATACAGGATATCCTATTTTAAAAAACGCACCTCGATAGTTCTTCAACGAAGCATTTTCAGCAAAAATGTTTCGAACAAAAGTTGTATGATTTCAAGGAGGACATAAAACAACTATACTATTTTGTTTACAAATGGCATCACTTTCAAGATATTCGGATCATTATTTTTCTTAAATGGAAACTCCATTCTTTTATTACATCTTCTTTTTCTACTAATTAATTTAAACAATTTTTGTCTGAAATATTTTTTTATTTGCCTAATATTTTTTGAGATATTTAAGAAAAACGTGATAACTTTTTCAATATTTACATACACTTACATACATAAAAATGAGACATCTTAGCAAAAATGAAGTAGCGCAAGTAATCGCTTTAATAGAAGAGGGTCGTTATCTCTGCTGACACACACACATCACGCACACTTCATATTAACGTACACATACACCATACACATGATGTGCAAAATCCGATCGAGCAACCTCCCCGTGATGTATTATATACATCACGGGGAGGTGATACATCGGATAACGCGAATGTTGCTAAAAATCTTGCAAAATGCAAGGGTGACTTTGAAATGCGACAATTCGGCCCCAAGGTATGATAGAACAATGTTCCTTGCGGTGTTTTAAAGGGGAAATTTCCCACTTCAAAGAGTGTGGTGTCATTTTTGCTTCCATCCTATTCATCATATTCGTGTATGGCTACAAAATCATGAAATTTTCACAATTTTTTCGCGACCTGACTTTGGGCCTCACAAGAAAAACAGTTCGATGAGACGAATAATGAAACTTTAATTTCTTTA